GTGGGAAGGGGGCAGAGCCATCTCCTGGGATTGTGGTGTTGGGATAGCCTGCCATAAGTGACTCATGCAGATATTAGAGGGAAAAGAGAGCAGATAGGAACCACCAGTGGTGTATTTAGGTTTTGTGCTGCCCTAGGCAACACAAAAATCGGCAGCACCCCGCAAAAGAGAGAGCTTGACGTTGACCAACAACACTCCTGACTCCCACACGAGAGAGCCTTCTTTTACTACTGCCCCCCATACACCAGCCACCATCCCCCATGGCGAGAGAGAGAAAGACACTCACCTTCACAGCTCCGGGAATGTGAGTTGGGCTGTCCATACACCGTCATGAAACCCGCAACCTCTCTCGGAACACAGCAGATCCCCATGCCGCATTTTGTCCCTTCTTCCGTCCCCTCTTCCCCCCCCCCCCGTGAAAAATGCCGCCCTAGGCAAATGCCTTGTTTGCCTTGTGGTGAATACACTCCTGGGAACCACATTAGGTGCTTTGGGTTGAAGCAAGTACACACTATGGAAGGATATGCTTTGCTCGTTTTTCAATTAAGAGGTTCACAACAAGTTGAACAAGATTTGTGAACAACTTCTCCCCACCCCTCTTCAGCTGCACCATTTTTAAAAAAAACTGGCAAGTGTAGAGAAGGGCCTCTGGTCGCTTACAGGCATATGGGACCTGGAGGAGAACATCAAACACTACCAGCTCTTTGTGGATGGGCAATATAGCATCCCGTGGCATTTGTGTGCATGCATGCCTAGTAACCTACTGTCTCCTGGGAGAGCTGTGATGCAGCAATCCCAGGAGGCAAAGGGGCTCAACCTATGCCAAAAACCTGGAACTGCAGTCTTGCACCACAAAAAGAAGAAAACCAGTAGTAGGATGTGGGAGAAAAACCACAGTGCATTTATTTTGATTGTCAGCTCCATCTAATGGCCACATATCAATGACGTATCCAACATCAAGGCTTTATTCCATCAAAGACCTTGGCCTTGGTACCTTCCCAGAGAACTCCAAGTCTAACTCATTTCACCACTCAAGACTCTCCAAAGTCTTACCGATAGGACTAAGCCTTGAGTGTTGAAATGCATTAGAGTAGGAGGTCTCTTGGAGGGGACTAAGGCCAAGATCTTTGTTGGAATAAAGCCTTGATGTTGGATACGTCATTAGTTTTCGGCTCTCTATTCTTTTCTTTGGAGTCGGTTTTAATTTAACAAAGACCTTGGCCTTGGTCCCCACCCAGAGACTTTCAAGTCTAACACATTTCACCATTCAAGGCTTTGTCTTACAGATGGGACTAAGCCTTGAGTGGTGAAATGCATTAGAGTGGGAGGTATCTTGGTGGGGACCAAGGTTAAAGTCTACGCTGGATTAAAGCCTCGATGTTGGATACATCATAGGTGAGCTGCTGTTTCCTCTTTTCTTTGGGGTTGGCTTTAATTTAGCTAATACCCTGGCCTTGGTCCCCACCCAGAGACCTCCTATTCTATAGCATTTCATGCGTTAAAGTGTAAGGTCTCTAGCAGGGGACCAATGCCAAGGTCTTTGCTGGATTAAAGCCTCGATGTTGGATATATAATTGTTGAGCTGCTGTCTGTTCTTTTCTTTGGGGTTGGCTTTAATTTAGCTAATACCCTGTCCTTGGTCCCCACCCAGGGACCTCCCACTATATAGCATTTCATGTGTTAAAGTGTAAGATCTCTAGGTGGGGACCAATGCCAAGGGCTTTGCTGAATTGAAGCCTCGACGTTAGATACATCATCGGTGAGTTGCTGTCTCCTTTTTTCTTTGAAGTCGGTTTTAATTTAACAAAGACCTTGGCCTTGGTCCCCACCCACAGAATTTCAAGTCTAACACATTTCACCACTCAAGGCTTAGTCTTACAGATGGGACTAAGCATTGAGTGGTGAAATGCATTAGAGTGGGAGGTCTCTTGGTGGGGACCAAGGCCAAGGTCTTTGCTGGATTAAAGCCTTGATGTTGGATATATCATCGGTGAGCTGCTGTCTCTTCTTTTCTTTGGGGTTGGCTTTAATTTAGTTAATACCCTGGCCTTGGTCCCCACCCAGAGACCTCCCACTCTATAGCATTTCATGTGTTAAAGTGTAAGGTCTCTAGGCGGGGACCAATGCCAAGGTCTTTGCTGGATTAAAGCCTCGATGTTGGATACATCATGGGTGAGCTGCTGTTTCCTCTTTTCTTTAAAGTCGGTTTTAATTCAACAAAGACCTTGGCCTTGGCCGCCACCCACAGACTTTCAAGTCTAACACATTTCACCACTCAAGGCTTACAGAGTGGAAGATCTCTTGGTGGGGACCAAGGACAAGGGCTATGCTGGGCTTAAGTCTTGATGTTGGATAAATCTTAAAGCTGCTGTCTCGTCTTTTCTTTGGGTTGGCTTTAATTTAGCAAAGACCTTGGCCTTGGTCCCCACCCAGAGACCTCCCACTCTATAGCATTGAATGCATTAACGTGTAAGGGTCTCTAGGTGGGGACCAAGGCAAAAGTCTTTGCTGGACTAAAGCCTCAATGTTGGATGTGTCATCGGTGTATGGCCGTCTCGTCTAAATATATATTGAAAGAGAAAGATTAGACTGACTCATGTGTGACGTAACATGCTAGTCAAATGGGATTCAAGGGGGGGGGGGGGGGGGGGGGTTAAGTCATTAAATAAAAGAAGACTTGAATTAAAGCTTCAGAACTATTATCTAATTACAAGGCATGGTTGGATCTTGGCTTTGAGCTTAATTCATTTTGAGAGGTACATTTGGATGCTTATTACACAGGCCTGGATGGGTATCGAAAATCCTCTCGAGCAGGCCGAGCTAATATAAGAAAAACTCTTCAGACAAAGTAAGATAACACAAATTCCAACGAAATACGAGTGTGACGTTAATTAGTATAAAATGGGCGATATGGAATTGAAAATGATGGGGTTTTAGCGCCATGATACAAAATATTTGTACTCAAGCTACATTATCATACTTTGGATATTGGAATTGCGATCCGATTATGTTCTCAATCAGCTAATGCAGGTTTTCGAGGATGTCTTCTACTGTGGTGGATGATGTAGGAGCACAGAATATGTCTGCTGCCATCTTGGAGGATCTATGTGTGCCACAACACCTGGCTTAAGCCTCCCCTTGTAGTACAACTCTGCTTTAAAGTGATTAAAAAGGTAATTAAAAAAAAAAATAATAATAATAAACATATTATACTTACCAATGGTATTGCACAGAACGGCCCCAGGAATTCCTCTTCTGGGGTCTCCCACCAGCGCTCTAGACTACTCTTCTTCTGTATGTGCCTCCAAAGCAGTTGGCTTATTATGGAGGCACACCTCCAGAGCTGGGCTGTGTGTTCATAGACACACAAAGCTCGGCTCGGGCCCTGTCCCCAACTCCCTGCTCGAGGATTTGATTGACATCGGCAGGAGCCTCCCGTCTGTCTCAGCAGTTAGCAGCAGAGAGGAGGACAGAACTCTTCCTACAGAATCTGTCCTCCTCCATGAAGCCGCGGAGAGGTTTGTCTCTGCCCCACACCACCCCCGTCTCAGCCGTTAGCAGCAGAGAGGAGGACAGAACTCTTCCTACAGAACCTGTCCATCTCCATGAAACCACGGAAAGCCTCGTCTCTGCTCCCCCCCCCCCCATCTCAGCCGTTAGCAGCAGAGAGGAGGACAGAACTCTTCCTACAGAACCTGTCCTCCTCCATGAAACCACGGAAAGCCTCGCCTCTGCCCCCTCCCCATCTCAGCAGTTAGCAGCAAAGAGGAGGACAGAACTCTTCCTACAGAACCTGTCCCTCTCCATGAAACCACGGAAAGCCTCGCCTCTGCCCCCCCCCCCCCCCATCTCAGCAGTTAGCAGCAAAGAGGAGGACAGAACTCTTCCTACAGAACCTGTCCTTCTCCATGAAACCACAGAAAGCCTCGTCTCTGCCCCCCCCCCCCAACCCCCCTGTCTCAGCAGTTAGCAGCAGAGAGGAGGACAGAACTCTTCCTACAGAACCTGTCTTTCTCCATGAATCCATGGAAAGCCTTGTCTCTGCCCCACCCCAGCCCCCTGTCTCAGCAGTTAGCAGCAGAGAGGAGAACAACTCTTCCTACAGAACCTGTCCTCCTCCATGAAGCCGCAAAGAGCCTCCTCTTCAACAGAAACTCTCCTACAGAACCTGTCATTCTCCCTCCTCCATGAAGCCCAAAAGAGCCCTCTCTGCCCCCCCCACCCCCCTGTCTCAGCAGTTAGCAGCAGAGAGGAGAACAGAGCTCTTCTCACAGATCCTGCGCCTCTCTGTGCAGTCGCAGCACCCCCTTGTCAGCACCTCCCTTAGTCTCAGCATTCAGCAGACTCCAGCCCTCCTTTGGTCTTCCTCCAGACCTGTACTTTCTGCTTCCCAGCTCCGCCTCTAGCTTCTTCCCAGAAGCAGCACAAGGTAAGGGCGTTGACTTCTGATGGTGGGAGGGGGGGGGGGGCTCTTGACATCTGATATAAAGGAGACGTGGTTGGGTGCTGTGGACATCTAGTCTTACAGATGCAACCGGCCCTTTGAGGGCAACCCATAATGCCGACGTGGCCAGTTATTAAAATCGAATTTGACACTCCTGGCCTCAGTGTGTTCCACTCACTCGCAACACCTGAGCTAAATAATTTGGGGAGGTGTCCACATGCCATTGGCCATATGGAATATTTCTTGGATTCATATGCAAGGACACAGGTATTGCCTCAATTAAGCTGGGGGAAAAAAAACAACTTACGCGTCTATAAACCGTCTGTGGTGACCAGAGATCCTAGAATGTGAGCCATCTTCAAAAGGTGGGGTCTCGAAGCACCTTGTAGTGAATGGAATTGCACTTTGCACACAAGGGACAATTAGGCACTGAAGTGATCATAGCTGCATCAATCTCCATTTGGTTGTCCTTGGTGTGGATCTGGATCCCGAACATCTCCACTTTAATGAAGTTCAGCTTAATCGTTAGGGGAACGTCACAGAAGATCTTCTGAGGTCCCAAGTGCAAGATCTCTCCACTGACCAAGAGTATTCTGACGTCCACCTCGGCTCCAATCGTGTCAGATTCCGTGGTAATAAATGTCACCCAGATGGTAAGAGTTTGTGGGACCACCGGGTGTGGAAACTCCAGCTGCAGGTAGCATCCATGAGGTTCAGTGCATGCGGGAGGGACAGAGTTGTCGTTGGCTCCAGGGCTCCACGTACGTACGCTTGTTTCACATGGCTGTTCCACGTCAGGCCGTCCTAGAATACACACAATCCTCACTTGAGATACGCTACAAAATAATTATTCAGTTAAAAAAAAAAATTAATTTAGCCCTTCAATATCGGGGGGCATTTCAACCCCTTTCCTGCCCAGGAATACACAGAATCCTTACTTGAGATACACTACAAAATAATTATTCCATTAAAAAAAAAATTAACCCCTTCAATACCGGGCACTCCAACCCCCTTCCTGCCCAGGAATACACAAAATCCTCACTTGAGATACGCTACAAAATAATTATTCAGTTAAAAAAAAAATTAAGCCCTTTAATACCGGGCACTTCTACCCCCTTCCTGCCCAGAAATACATACAATCCTCACTTGAGATATACTACAAAATAATTATTCATTAAAAAAAATAAAAAAAAATTAACCCCTTCAACACCGGGCACTTCAACCCCCTTCCTGCCCAGGAATACACAAAATCCTCACTTGACATACGCTACAAAATAATTGTTCAGTTAAAAAAAAATAATAATTAAACCCTTCAATACCGGGCACTTCAACAACCCCCTTCCTGCCCAGGAATACACAGAATCCTTATTTGAGATACACTACAAAATAATTATTCCATTAAAAAAAAAATTAACCCCTTCAATACCGGGCACTTCAACCCCCTTCCTGCCCAGGAATACACAAAATCCTCACTTGAGATACGCTACAAAATAATTATTCAGTTAAAAGAAAAAAAAAAAAATATGCCCTTCAATACCGGGCACTTCAACCCCCTTCCTGCCCAGGAATACACACAATCCTCACTTGAGATACGCTACAAAATAATTATTCAGTTAAAAAAAAAAAAAAAATTAAGCCCTTCAATACCGGGCACTTCTACCCCCTTCCTGCCCAGGAATACATACAATCCTCACTTGAGATACGCTACAAAATAATTATTCATTAAAAAAATGTAAAAAAAATAACCCCTTCAATATCGGGCACTTCTACCCCCCTTCCTGCCCAGGAATACACACAATCCTTGCTTGAGATACACTACAAAATAATTATTCAGTAAAAAAAAAAAAAAAAATTAACCCCTTACCTACCGGGCACTTTTACCCCCTACCTGCCGAGGCCAATTTTCAGCTTTCAGCGCTGTCGCACTTTGAATGACAATTGCGTGGTCATGCAACACTGCACCAATGTTAAATTTTTATACCTTTTTTTTCACACAAACAGAGCTTTCTTTCGGTGGTATTTAATCACCGCTGAGTTTTTTTTTTTTTTTTGCTAAATAAAACAAAAAACACCTGAAACTTTTGAAAAAAACCACTTTTTCTTCATTTCGGGTATAAAATTTTGCAAATAAATAACACTGCACCGATGTAAAATTTTTATACGTTTTTTTCACACAAACAGAGCTTTCTTTCGGTGGTATTTAATCACCGCTGAGTTTTGTTTTTTTTTGCTAAATAAAACAAAAAACACCTGAAAGTTTTTTTTAAAAAAAGGCACTTTTCTTTGTTTCAGTTATAAAAGTTTGCAAATAAATAACCTTTCTTAATAAATTTAGGTCAAAATGTATTCTGCTACATTTCTTGGGTGAAAATAATAATAATAATTGAATTTGTATTTTTTTTTTTTCATGTTTCTATTATTTTTTTTTATTTTTTATTAATTTTTTTTCCTTTTTTACTATTTTTTTTTTTCAGCACACAGTGACCAAAACAATGCAATGTTACTATAGTAACATCAAACTACTCTGGGCAAGTGATCAGGATTTTTTTTTAGTTTTAACACATTATGATTGCTAATACCGATGTATTTAATTGATAAGCGATGAGCAAACTGTTGGCGCTATATAAATCCTGTATAATATTAATAATAATATTTGCAATCAATATCAATTGTTACTGAATGAAACTGATAGATTCAGTCTTTGGTTGTGATTAGCTGTGATTGGGCAAAGCTGATCACATGATACAGATGGTCTGTGATTGGCCCTGTCTGTATCATGTGACTGCTTTGACCAACATAATTGTATACAATGGATGGCATGACAGGAAGCCATCCATTGTATACAATTGACATGTGCTGTGATTGGTCACGGCAGTCACATGACACTGGCAACGGGCCAGTGTAGCGATATGTAGACACAGCCGGTGACAGATCGCGCCGCTGCGTGGCCCCGCACCCACGTGAGCGGCTCATTTTGACACGACGTCATAGGTCGCCCAGTCACAATGGCGAGTGAAGGTGTTAATCAACAGATATCAAATATTTCTTATTCACTTGAATACTTAATATTGTAAATTTCTATAATTTTTCTATGGTCGATTGTTTTATTAACCTGATTTTTTTTTAAATAAACAAAAAAAATTGTAGTTCTGGAAATGATTGGATTTAAATTACAATTTTAACCCCTTCACGCCTAAGGGTAAAACAAATCTAAAAGCCTAAGTAAAATTTGACAACTTTGACCCGCGTTACTAAAACTGTACATATCAGCGCAACTGCTTTGTACATCCGGGTGGATTATATCGCGTTTTTTTTTTTTCAGGACAAATTGCGCTTTCATTTGATGGTAAATGGTAAGGGATATCTCCTGATTTTTAATTTTTATTTTATTATTATTATTATTATTATTATTTTATTATTTATTTATTTTATATTATCAAAGGAAAACTGGCCCAAAATAGTAAAAAAAAAAAAAATTATTTTATATTTTTTTTTCATTTAGCTGTGTGTTTCTTGTTCCTACCATAACCTACCACCAAAGAACAACCTAAAATACATTTTTATAGCTCTTGACGATGGCAGCGATACCATATATGTGGATGTTATTGGTTGTTTGTACCCGGAGTACGGCCCAGAAACAATAGTGCAAATTTTAATTTTTTTACCTAAGGCTCCATGCACACTTGGGGGGGGGGGCAGGGGCGGACTGACCATTTGGAAACTCGGGTACTACCCGAGGGCCCGGGGTCAGTAGGGGACCCCATGAGATGCCCCTGGTACCTTTATCATAGGCTTTTTTGAGTTTGGGCAAGGACACAGGGGCCCCATGATCCCCTATTGCCCGGGGGCCCCATGAGTTATCAGTCCACCACCCTGGGGGGGGGGGGGGGGGGGGCGTTTGGTAACGTTAGCTGTGTAAAGTCACGTTAAAAACGTCAGTTTTTCAGCTTTTTTTTAGCATTTTTTTTGCAGTACCGTTTTGCTGTATTTTCCAGCGTTTTTTAGCATTTTTTTGTCCAAAAAAGTATAAAACACCAGTTTGTGGTGTTTTTTACCGCGATTTACCGTGTTTTTCTAAAACTCCTTTAGAAACCCACTAGTCCTGTGTTTTTTTTTTTTCCAGCCACAAAACGCTGATTCCAGTCTATGTGTGCATGGACACATAGGATAACATGCTGGGGGGTTTTACTGGCTATAGAAAAAAAAACATCAAAAGCTAAAAAAAGGTGCTGTAAAAATGTCCTGTGTGCATGAGGACTGATACCAAATTAAAAAAAAAAAAAACCCTGACCTTTGACCCAGACCTTGAACTTCGACCCTGACCTTAACCTCAACATTAACCCTGGCACTGAACTAGATCAAACCTTGATCTAGGTATTTTTTTCTTTCTTTATCTTTTTTTTTTTTAGTTTTTTTTTTCACTCTACAAGGAGAGAGATACAATGCAAAAAAAAAGGGGGGGGGGGGGGGGGGGGGCTTCACAGTGACTGATCACTGTGATAGCCAATCAGAGGCTATCACAGTGATTATGTGACCCGGCACTGCGCTGCTTTAACTGGTAATTGCGCGGTCATGCAACACTGTGAACAAAACCACATTTTATATTACTATTATTATTATTATTACAGTATTTATAAAGCGGCAACAGTTCGCTCAGCTCTGTACATTACAATACATTATATCTTTTTTTTTCCCCACAAAGAGCTTCCTTTTGGTGGTATTTGATCACCACTGGGTTTTATTTTTATTTTTTATTGTATAAATAAATAATTTTTATTTTTATTATATAAATACATTTTTTTTTAATTATATTTTTGAAAAAACAAAGAAAAAATGTTTTTTTTTTTTCATATTTTCTGCAATAAACCATACCCAATTCAAAAACAAAATTACAAAAATCAAATTTCTTCATAAAATTTTGGCAAAATGTATGCTGCTGCATGGTTTAAAAAAAAATCGCAATAAGTGGGATATTTATTTGGTTTGCATGAAAGAGGTCTACAAACGATGGGAGATATATTGAATTTTTTTTTAAACTACTAATGGCAGTGATAGTGCGGAGGGCAATCTGACACGAAATGATGCTGGGGGTGGGCGGGGGGGGGGGGGGGAACTGACTGACGCTTGCATCACCGGTGACACGAATACAGTGATTAGTGATAATACTGTACACTACCAATGTACTACTGACATCGGCTGGGAAGAGGGTAACACCTCGGGGTAACCCATATGGAAGAAAAATATATTTGAAATATATTTTAAAAATATTCTTCCCAAATATATTGACATATATTTGAAATACTACATTTTTGGCCGTGTTCAATATATATTTCAAAATATATTTCAATAAATATATATATATACTGCATGTTGAAATGCATTTTTATTACAAGATATATTAAAAAAAAAAAAAAATACATTTTAAATACTCTGTATGTCTTTAAAAATACAAATCTACATTTTTGGAATGCATTTACAAATATATATAAAAATATATGTTAAAATGACTTTTTTTTTATATGTTAAAAAAAATCTGAAGAATATATAAAAAAAATA